ACTCTTGCTGTGTCTGCAGAAATCATCTGCTGAGACGCTCGTTTGTAAACAAACAACGCGATCATTTTGTTGCATGCCCTCGTACTGGTAGGGAGGGTTTCGAGTTCATTTGCGTTCAAAATTGAACATGTTTCAGTATATTTTATGGATGTTAGTGCCAGTTTTAGTTAGTGTTAGTGGTTATTTTTTAGCATATTGTTTTACGTTGTCGTGCGAAAATATATCCATTAAAACTCAATTTATGTACCAATAGTTGACTAAAATGAGCGGACTGAGCAGAAAATAATTATGGTACTTGTTGTTACCCTGTCTGGCGCTCGGCATTAAGGGATAAAACGAGGTCTGTTTAGAGGCCACTTTATGGAGAAGATGGTCAGGCTTGGAGATTTTGTTTCCGGCGACCTCGTGGATGGTTGCTCATTATTTAAATCACTATATTGTCTGGTCCAGATTTACAGACCGCTGTCACCTACCTGGAATATTGCTGAGTGCGGCGTTAAACAACCATCACACAAACACACATACGACGTCAGGGCCTGGGCTGAAAACAGACCGCGGAGTATTGTCCCCCGTAAGTATGTCTGTCAGTGGTCCGACGTGCATAACACACTGTACAAGTGGTCACCGTGTTCTGGGAAACATGCTGATACCAATCTCTCACAGTCGTGATGGATGGCAACACTCCAGGATCATATGTGCTCTGTTGTATGTTCTTTAATCACAAACAGCCCGCTCTTGTGTTCCCACAACTCGACCAAGTGTACGGTACTATATGGGATTTGCTATTACAGAAAGCCAAAGCTCATTTATACTAGCGATTACTGTTGAAGGTGTGTTCCGACTATTTGCTCCGGAAACGCCGCTTTTTTTCTCTCTCAATAGTCTACTTATATGACATTTGAGAGTCTTGTTTGCAGAATGTGATCAGTTAGAAATCACATAATAAATCGAACATTTGGCTTTTCTTGTCAAATAGTACACTTTCCTATCTGGTGATATGCGTTACTCCTTAACATAGAGGGGCGGTCGGGTAGCCTAGTGGTTAGAGCGTTGGCACGCCACGCCGGAGACCCGGGTTCGATTTCCGACATGGGTACAATGTGTGAAGCCCATTTCTGGTGTCCCCCGCCGTGATATTGCTGGAATATTGCTAAAAGCGGCGTAAAACCATACTCACTCACTCACTCACTTTAACATAGATCAACTATTTATCTATCAGAAACATATAATTACATATGTGCTTGTCACACATACATTTACATAGCGCATTGCTGTTGAAAACGCACCATTTGTGAAAATCATAAGATGGTCTGGATTATTTTATCAGCTTTTGAATCTCTATAATCATGTACACATGTTGTCTGTAACTGTTAGATGAGTGAGTGAGTGGATTTAAGGCCGCTTTGGACAATATTCGAGTTTCGTGTCAGCTCGATGTGGGAGGAGAGGTCGGAACGATAAGAAAGGTTTGCATGGATCATACATATATACTGTTACTCATAACACGTTTACAAGTTAAAATAGTTGAAGAGTCAAGATGCAGCGAATAATTGATACATACTGATGGTCAAAATCAGAAATAAACCACACAGATATGTTTCAGTCAATTTATAATATGAAACAGTGAAATGTATGTCTGTATAACACGTATCCATTTATGTAATCTAGCAAGATATTGACATGATGTGATATAAACGTTCCAATAAATATCTATATCTGTATCAGCAAAGTGAAGCCATCTTCCCGAGGCAAGGGAGTTAACTGACTATAAAAGTCCAGTTTCCACCCTTGCCGAACTAGGCTGGTATGATGGAGTTACATTTTGGCTGGACTAACGAGTCTATGCATAGTCCAATCAAAATCGCGCTCCGAAATCGAAATCAGGTTCGTAAACTTTCATACAGATTTCGGTTGATTGCAGGATTTGCAAAGCATGTGCACCGCTAACTCGTTGTCAACAGATATTTTGTAAATCTTTTCATGTGTTTAATCAAGGTGCTCACGTGATTTGATGCACTTCGCGATGTAAGACTCGTTTTATCACAATGTAGATCTTGATTATCGATCAGATCGTCTTGACTGGGCGCCGCCGTTTCGTTTAAAGCAAATGCAAGTGATAAGTGAGGTGGAATCTGATTGGTCCATAGGAGAGGCATAGAAAGGACATAACTCGCAATAGTCACTGGTGGCGCTACGATCGAGCCCAGGAATTCCAGCCTAGTTCGGCAAGGGTGGAATCTGTACTTTTAAAGTCAGTTAACTTTCTTGCCGCGGGAAGATGAGTGAAGCAGTTGGTGCATATATTCCAGACTCTCATCCTAGTAACGTTGGGATAACGTTTGTATTTTTTTGGTCAATTCCAATTTTCAAGGGTATGCTTTCTTTTGAACGGGAGTGTATATTGTAATATGGGACTGGGGTGTCCTACCAACTCCGTTGGTCTTTAGAAACTGCTTTGAAATACGTTTTAACCACATAATAACAAGATTGTCGGTTCATGAGATCAGATGTCGAAAAGCTGATCTTGATGCCTTTATTGAAATCAACGAGAGAATAGGCATGACTAGAATGGCTCACTGCTTAACAAGAATACCCCGTGAGGATTCGGGGGTAGAATAAGTCATCAGCAACCCGTGATGTAAGAGGCGACTAATGGGATCGGGTGGTCAGGCTCGCTGACTTGGTTGATGCAATTGCGTGCATCGATGCTCATGGTATCGATCACTGGATATTTGGTCCAGACTCGATTATTTACAGACCGCCGTCATATAGCTGGAGTGCGGCGGTAAGCAACAAGCAAACAAAAGCTTACCAAGTCTCTCGCTCTGTACAAGAAACATGTACACGTGCTCTATGTTATACTTTATGTATCATGCATCCTTTCATTCAGTGATGGAAATATCAATGTTGCATCACTTCTGACCGTCAGTATATGACCATATGCAACTTATATATCCTAACTCGAAAGACTATCGTTACCAGTGAACATTATTTTATGGATCTATGTTAATGAACAATATCCTATGTATACATAAGTCCCTATACATATTATAATCGTCCGTTTGGAATGCGGGGTTAGTGGACTAACGAGATTTCATTTTTGCAAACGTGCCGTGAGGTAACGTTAATTCGACAAAACCTAATTTTAGATTGATTAATCAGATTGGATATTAATCACATATTCCCATTATGTATGCTTACACTCATGTGAATATGTGAAAAAGAACATCTGAAACTGTATGATTGTACGCATTTGAAGAAAAAAACAATTTTGATTCTGATAGGGAGCTGGTACCAAGCTACACCGGCGCCATTCCAAATGCTAAGCTATCACATCAAAGAGGGAACGGAACTGCCGTACAACACAATGTGTGTTATGTTCTCACAAGATTCAACATCTCGTGATATTTGACGAGAAACCCGACCCCCCTCCATGCTGTGCGCCGACTGAGCTCCACTACGGGTTTGCTCTTTGTCGTGGCCTTCGGTGACCTTCACGTTGCCCCCTTCTGGAATCTGTTATAGGAGTTATCTCCCCTGTCTTCTGTGGCATCAGTTTATATATCATACAAATCATAAACGGGGCCATTTATTATGGATGAATATTTCACGTTGTTTCACGGTGGGTAGCCTATAGGGTAAGCGGTCGCTCGTTACGGCGAAGATCGTGGTTCGATAGCCCACATGTGTGCCATCGGGGATCATGATATATGGCAAGTTTCCTGCTTTAGTCGCAGTAGGTTTGGTAGGCTAACATACAACCCCTCAAATAAGGTAATGTGATAAGGTTAAATAATTTATTTTTGTACAATGAACCCATCTACTATTACAGAACCCTCAGGTCTCTTGTTTTCAAAGCTAGGGCTAAGAAAGGGATGAATACACGCTGATAGAGAAGAGGGTGCGGAGTGGAGTCGCATTCAGGGACTGTGTCATTAAATATGTGCTCTCGGGTCTGTAAGACAGACTACAGGTTGGATTAAACAGAAAAAAAAACATGATCCACAGCGTTAGAGCATCCATTGGTTTGCTACAGTCGTCTTTGGTTGAACAAATGATGAGCGGCTTGGTAGCAAGTGTGAATGGATGCTGATACCGCTCCTGTATCCATTAACCACATCACTGATGCCAGTGTTAGTCATTACCTAAATTCCATGCAAACACATTTCCAACTTCTTTTCTAGTTCACCAATGTCAAAATTGTAAGTAAAGCAAGCGTGATAAATTCCTCACATTTCGGCTCTGTTCGGCGAGTTTCGGAAGGAAACTGAACAGAGGGATGTAATAACGATCATCAAAGTCACCATGGTCAGTTCGGATTGTTTAAACTTATAACACCCGCATGTTGTGTCCAGATGTCTGGAACTTGCTTCAGATTCAATACATGTCTGTATCAGCAATACATCCGTACACTTCCTTGGTTCATCCGTTTGTTGAGGATTAAAGAGAGACAAACTGGTGCCTTTTAAATCCATCATTAACGGTATAAGGTTTCCAGATCATCTTTGATAATCAATCTTAAACAACTCATTAGCAGCCCAATGTGGAGATCATTTTGTCCACCTATTTCTAAATATCCCGTTACAAGGGCTCTTACAAATTTATCAAAGTATATAACGGTAATTTAATGACTTAAAACACCCTTTGTTGCCGTGTCTGACTTTACTGTTATTTGAGAAGTTCATGCTATTACTAAGAAGAAATGTTCTGGGTTATCGTGTTAAATCTAAATCTAATTTAGAAATTAATTGGAATACTGATATAACATGTACAGTTATAACTGATATAAATCAATCACACCTGGCACCTGGCAATCACACCTTGTCAACACCTCTGTGTAAATATCTACCAATATACCCACTAAAACCAGTTCTCACAGCACGAACATCTACGCCTGTCTATCGTGGGGAAACACAAATAAACAAAGAAATGGATCCAATGGCGAAATCGACACGCCTTAAAGCAGTTACTTCCCCTTCATGTGCAATTACTCGAGCTCCAAACGTTTTCCTTGTCCCGGTAGACGGGGAGTCGAGTTGTGTGTTGCATTTAGAGGTGTAACACGGCCTGTGGAATCCTGCGTGCGATGTAGGCCTGAGCTAGATGCACCATGTGTAGGTTGTCGATTTCCAGGTGGGCCGGCATTGTTCAGCATTGCCATTGAGAATATACCTGGATATACTGAAATGTACATGGATTGTCAGTGTCAATTGCAGGTACGTTTCAATGTAGCGCGGTAGGTTGCTGTGAGTTTATACGTGATGCATGTTACGTTTAACAATCAGTGAGGTGTCATTTGTGTGAGCCACCAGTAATGTGTCATGTGAATGATTAATTGTATGTGATTTCATAAATATTAATTGTCAATTTTAGTAAAATGATTAACGTTTTATCATCAAGTAAGATAGACCTTAAAAATATATTCAACAATTGCATCAAGAATAATAGTGGCATTTGTAAGAGCCTTGTTATGAAGCAGGGCGTAAGAATGATATCGACTTAGTGTTGAAGACACTGTATGACGTATATAACAGAACAGTGTTCCATAATTAAACATTGTGATTTTCATAGACTGTTATCATATTATTATTTTTTACATACTGACTCTCCAAAAGACATGCGACCAATTTTGATTTATGTGAATAATAACGTTTTCCTAGTTTCTTTTCTAAAGTAACCAATTTGTTCTAGATTCACATCATATCTCGATCTGGATTCGCTTAATTCTTATTTCACATACATTCGGCTGGGACCAACTAGACTGAAACTACTTTTCGTTTCAGCAGTTAAATAGCATCTCTTACTCATCTTCAGGCTCTCTGACACACCTAAAGATCCCTTCATCGCTGGTAGTTTCTCCATCTGAAACGTAATTGGCGCTCTGGCAAAAATAAGTACAGCAAGTGGTTTATATACTAATAAAAAAGGACCGTTCTATTCTTTCGTATTTCTATAGTTAATGTTAAAGTAATATGAAACTTTCTAGTAGTATATACTAATTCTGTGGGATGCATAGGTGATGACACTGTTGACGCCTAACAATGATTTTGAGTGAGAGGCTAAAGCTTGATGCTCCATCAGTTATTTAAGCCGCTCGGTACCATTGTAACGTTGCCTGTAGTACCCGACGTAGTCTACCGCACGATGCTTGTCATAGAGAAGTCATTGTGATACCCTGATGGTATCCGTGGTGGTACAGTACCATGGTGGTCGCGAGAAACATATTCATACCAGTGGTATTATAGTCACCGGTCGTCACGATGTGGCTGAAATATTGCCGATGTGACGTAAAGCATAAACTCACTCACTGTAGTACACCAGGCCTGCCGTCAGACACAAACGCCGTGGTGTCCCTTATTGCCAAGACTAACATCTAGCCTCTTAAATAATAAAATCAGAAAAAAACAGTTGTTTAATTATCTTAATAAAAATATAATAAAAAGGAGCCCAGAGACTCTCTTCATTTTCAGAAACTGCAGTAACCTAGACTTGCCAAACATTATAGACTTGCATGGGCTGTATTGGATATATTTGTATCAGGGTCTGTATGACAGACAAATTACGGCTGTGCGAGACGATCACTGTGAATGCCCGTGTGACACCTAAGGCAGCTTAGTACACCAAGCATGTCCGATGGTATAACTAAATTGACAAGGAACCACAAGTTACTATGTCCCCAAGACCCTAGAATATATTAGAAAACGAATCAGACTCAAGTCTAGAATGACTTCGCAAGTCTAGATTGCCCCAGCTCTACATTAAGCCTTGCTCTTTCCTCCAGTTAGGTTATGTTTGTTTGTAGATATAAATTTTTAAATAAGATAACTTTATTTCTGGATCTAAATGTTTGTCAACAGTCATGGCCCCGTGGTTATTCTAGTGTACAGTTCTACGTCCATGGGCCAGGCATGTCTGATCCCGGCGTGGTGACCTGGGTATGGCTGGGATATTGATGTCTTATAACGACATAAATCCTATTTCCTATTAGTTTTTGTTCACCTCAAACACTTGCAGTATGTACACTGAAATATACATAGAAAACCGCTGTTGAAATATTCTGACGCAAGAGAATTAGTGCACATGTGTTTTCAATAAACAAGAGATTTATCCCAATGCGTTTACTATTAGCTACATATGGGAAATTATGTGAATGGTTACTTACATAGAAACATGCCTTCATTCGTGAATTGTAAAATATGCAAAACATGATTACTACGTCCTTTTTTAAATCCTACGCAGATATGAATTCGTTTTAATGGCCATTTACTCATGTTCTCCAAATTTCGGATGTAGTTTGTGGCAGCTAATGTTTTGTCATACCGGTACACTAATGTGAATGCTTTTATGAAAACATGTTCCATTAAAAAAGGAGTGTAATGTTTTCCCCCCGAAAGGGGATTTTAAAGGTTGAAAAATAACATTCGCTTTCCTTGAACATGTGTCAGGTTACGAAAATGGAATAACTTTGGACAGCCGTTTTGGTATATGGACGGTAACTGAAATTGGCATTATGAAACCGAAAAAGCAAGAGTTTGTAATAACAAGATCTTTGAGTCTTAATAGATCTCGTTCTGTAATCTAAAATTGGTCACACAGGTGCTTAGTGTCTAGAATTTATCGCACCATTTAGAAACTATAGATATGTATGGGTCTCTGCTCCAATCAGACTATCTCATAATAATGCGCCATATTTCACCCAGTGAGTGAGTGAGTGAGTTGGGTTTAACGCCGCTTTTAACAGTATTCCAGTTATATCACGGCGTGAAAGCTTAATGTGGGAGGAAAGCCCGAAGTGATGCAGGTCTCAGACGTTTACCACTTCGGTGAAACCCACGAGCACGGGTAAGGTGCTGACAAACCTAGAAACATAATTGGGGCGAACCGGAATTCGAACCCACAATCATAGGTTTCTGGCATGACCAAGGGACGCAACTCTGCACAGCGAATCGCGGCGCCTTAGACGACTGGTCCACCCGTGCCCCCTCACCAAGTGTATACCCATGGCTCCACATTATTCTTAAACCGGTCAATGGATCAGTGGGCACTCGATTTTCATTCTCATCACCTCATCCTGTGGAGGATACAACCCACGCACCCACGCTACCTGTGAGGCGCTAGATGATTAACAGTCTTGTCCTACCCGGCACCCGTTCACTGCTGGGTGAACAAAGGTATGTTTCGAACAAACTCGTGCCTTAGGATACACCTCACGTGCTACGTCTGCGTAATATCTGCGTCTCTGCTCCATTCAGAAACCCTTTATAGATATCAAGATGAACCTGCTTCAATCGGAAACCGTTTATAGATATCTAGACGTCTCTTCTCCAATCAAAAACCGTTTATTAATAGCTAGACGTCTCTGCTCCAATCAAAAACCGTTTATGGATATCTAGATGTCTCTGTTCCAATCAAAAGCCGTTTATGGATATCTAGACGTCTGTGGTCTAATCAAAAACCGTTTATGGATATCTAGAGGTCTCTGGTCCAATCAAAAACGGTTGACGGATATCTAGACGTCTCTGCGTCAATCAAAAACCGTTTATGGATATCTAGATGTCTCTGCTCCAATCAAAAGCCGTTTATGGACATCTAGATGTCTCTGTTCCAATCAAAAGCCGTTTATGGACATCTTGATGTCTCTGTTCCAATCAAAAGCCGTTTATGGATATCTAGACGTCTGTGGTCCAATCAAAAACCGTTTATGGACATCTAGATGTCTCTGCTCCAATCAAAACCGTTTATAGATATCTAGAGGTCTGTGGTCCAATCAAAAGCCGTTTATGGACATCTAGATGTCTCTGTTCCAATCAAAAGCCGTTTATGGATATCTAGACGTCTGTGGTCCAATCAAAAGCCGTTTATGGATATCTAGACGTCTGTGGTCCAATCAAAAACCGTTTATGGATATCTAGACGTCTGTGGTCCAATCAAAAACCGTTTATGGATATCTAGACGTCTGTGGTCCAATCAAAAACCGTTTATGGATATCTAGATGTCTCTGTTCCAATCAAAAGCCGTTTATGGACATCTAGATGTCTCTGTTCCAATCAAAAGCCGTTTATGGATATCTAGACGTCTGTGGTCCAATCAAAAACCGTTTATGGACATCTAGATGTCTCTGCTCCAATCAAAACCGTTTATAGATATCTAGAGGTCTGTGGTCCAATCAAAAGCCGTTTATGGACATCTAGATGTCTCTGTTCCAATCAAAAGCCGTTTATGGATATCTAGACGTCTGTGGTCCAATCAAAAGCCGTTTATGGATATCTAGACGTCTGTGGTCCAATCAAAAACCGTTTATGGATATCTAGACGTCTGTGGTCCAATCAAAAACCGTTTATGGATATCTAGACGTCTGTGGTCCAATCAAAAACCGTTTATGGATATCTAGATGTCTCTGTTCCAATCAAAAGCCGTTTATGGACATCTAGATGTCTCTGTTCCAATCAAAAGCCGTTTATGGATATCTAGACGTCTGTGGTCCAATCAAAAACCGTTTATGGACATCTAGATGTCTCTGCTCCAATCAAAACCGTTTATAGATATCTAGAGGTCTGTGGTCCAATCAAAAGCCGTTTATGGACATCTAGATGTCTCTGTTCCAATCAAAACCGTTTATGGATATCTTGACGTCTGTGGTCCAATCAAAAGCCGTTTATGGACATCTAGATGTCTCTGTTCCAATCAAAAGCCGTTTATGGATATCTAGACGTCTGTGGTCCAATCAAAAACCGTTTATGGACATCTAGATGTCTCTGTTCCAATCAAAAGCCGTTTATGGATATCTAGACGTCAGTGGTCCAATCAAAAACCGTTTATGGATATCTAGACGTCTGTGGTCCAATCAAAAACCGTTTATGGACATCTAGATGTCTCTGTTCCAATCAAAAACCGTTTATGGATATCTAGACGTCTGTGGTCCAATCAAAAGCCGTTTATGGATATCTAGACGTCTGTGGTCCAATCAAAAACCGTTTATGGATATCTAGACGTCTGTGGTCCAATCAAAAACCGTTTATGGATATCTAGACGTCTGTGGTCCAATCAAAAACCGTTTATGGATATCTAGATGTCTCTGCTCCAATCAAAAGCCGTTTATGGATATCTAGATGTCTCTGTTCCAATCAAAAGCCGTTTATGGACATCTAGACGTCTGTGGTCCAATCAAAAACCGTTTATGGATATCTAGATGTCTCTGTTCCAATCAAAAGCCGTT